TACCGCCGCGGTGTTGTCGGCACGCTTTTGACGTTCGTGGTTATGTCGTGCCACGGAAATTTCTGTTTTAGGATAATGATGGGTACGTGGATTTAACATTGTTTGTTTCTATTTCCATCTTAAAATCCAAAATGTGGAAAAACAACTACACTTACCCTGACCAGTTTCTGAAAAGTGAAAAAGCAGTATAAAGCTAAATATCTTTAAATGATACAGATGAACTTCTTAAAATTTGCCCCAATGCAGCATGAAATGAACAGTAGAACTACCATAAGTTACACACACTATAGATCCATGGATCTCTCAATCCATATACAAAGGAGACTTTTTCACTGACTTACCTGGTGCAGAAACCAAGATTTGGCATCGCGTAAGAATAGCTAGCAAGAAGTCATTGTGAAAATGAACTGCCAAAATAAAAGACATGGCTTGCATTACAGTTATGACAATTATTTTTATTAGCAAACATATATTTGCATTAACTTCAGAAATTTGCACCGAAGATATAATAGCATTTTTCAAGTCCAAAACTAAATACAAGACTCCTAATTCAGCAACTTAGCATTTTCAGCTTTTATCTTCTAAAAATTCTTCAAGGGTAAGTTTTACTATGGTAAATTCTTGTATTATGTACTATGTATTAAGTATTATCAGGCATGATAAACTCTTCAAGGAGTAAAAAATGATCTCATTGTTCCCACAGTGCACTTTTTAGTAACTAAATACAATTGAGATACAATACATTTCAAAGCATTATACTTAACCCCTAGACATTTGAAACTGAAGAATTCAGAAAACTAGGTGAGCAATTCAGAGTTTATTTTCATACCATTGTCTTGAGTGAGCAGCCTCCGAGCTTCCAAATCAAACTCTTCTTTGCTGATCTTTTGCTTAAACCATAGTTTCAAATTAGCCCAGTACCTGTACAAGATATCAATAGTGAATTATCAATAATGGATTTACCCTTTTAAAAGTTACCTTTTTCCTCTCTTGTTGCTTTATGAGAGAGTATCATAGTTTTACAGAATTCGTATAATTGCAAAAACAATATTCAATGAGCAGAATCTCAACCTCAACCAATAGATTTGAGGTTGTGTCTGTCTCTTATAGTTCATCCAGTCCCAAGACAGGGATGGGTAACCTTTTGATAGCCAAGAGTGTAGGGAGGGCTAAGGAACAATATGTCTGGGGCCACATTAAATATTGTAAAGTTAGGTTTAGAGCTATTGGGAATTTTTTATAGTGATACATTTACGTTAGGGCCCACACTATACTTTTTATCTGTTTCCCACTTTCAGTTAGCCAGAGAGGACTATAAAATCTTAGCCAGAGAAGACGGTATAAAGGTAATTTGTAGAGTGCCGTTTGCCCCACCTATCTTAAGTAAACAAAGTACTATCACTCAACTTATTCCAGTTATTGGCGTTTACTTCACAAAAAGGCTTTTTTCACTGGGGCAAAATGCAGATTATGTTCTTTCTGCTTTTAACCTTGGCAGTAAATCTCTTGTTGCCTATTTCAAACATGGAAAAAGTCGGGTATTAACCGAGCATGCACAACTTGGAATTTTTCAGAATCTCAGCTCTATATTTCTAGAGGTTATAGAGAAAAGTATTCTGTGTATATTCATTGTAAAATGAATGAGACCAAGCCTGATATTCACAATGTGGAAGATCATATTTGTATTTGTTTTACCTGTCATTGGCCCTAAAAGCAACAGGTTGCTTTTAACTTTAACTGAACTATTAGTTCAGGATAAGAATGAGTTTATTGGAAAAGACAAACAGGTGAGGCAAATCATAAAGTTTATCAAGCAACTGTAGAACTAGTAAGAAAAAATAGGAAGAAGATGGATTTTGTTTTGTGTTTATAAACCCTCTGCACTCTGTCAAACAGGATTTAAAAAGCAGAGGTGAAAGGGAAAGTTAAAAGGGAGGCCATCCAATGTGAAGACATCCATAAGCTGGCAGTTTTGAAGATCAGAATTCCTCATTCTGTAATAGGGAACTTCTTTTTCCTCTATCTAAATTTTTTGCTCCAAATATTAGTTTAAACTGTCCTCCAGTGACAGTCCATTTTTTCACTGAAGAGGGTAGTGATTATGATAATTAAGCCAGTGAGATGAACTATGTATATATATGTATGAATTTTTGCCATTTGCGTTGTAAACATGTAATGAGTTCTATTTCTTTTTTTGTATTTTGTAAACCTTGCCTTTTTTACAACCTTTAATAAAAAATAAAAAAAGCAAAATAAGATAATTAAGCCAGTGAGATGAACTATGTATATATATGTATGAATTTTTGCCATTTGCGTTGTAAACATGTAATGAGTTCTATTTCTTTTTTTGTATTTTGTAAACCTTGCCTTTTTTACAACCTTTAATAAAAAATTAAAAAAAAAAAAAGAATTTCCATTAAGTGTGCATGCATGTGCGTGCAAAGCACACACGAGCAAACTGGCAATAACGCCGGCTGAAATCCACCCGTGCCTTCAAAGGCATTTTTTATATTAACTGATTTATGTTAGCTTTACTTAGAATGCTAAAGTCTTAGGGAGAAATAAGTTGTAATTCTACTTATGTCTGGCTGAAGAAAATATGAGTGCTTAGAGAAACTCTTCCCTCTTTTATAAGTCTTCATTTTTAATACTCTTAATATGGTAGTGTTACATAATGCAAAGGTTTTACTAGTTAAGAAACAATAGCTGCATCCTAAATTCTCTGGCTGCCTTTGTGGTTAGGAACAGGTGTTGTGATGGAGTTTTGTGTCCTGAGGCTTACTGAATCGAATTGGCA